ATGTACAGACATTTTACTGTGTGGATCACAACAAATCATGGTTAAGATTGAAAAGAATCAGAATCGCAGAACAGTCGATTATGCTCATGCGAAATCTATACCTAGACCAGGAAGCTGCTGTTTAAGCAGAGTAAGGAACACTGCATGGTTCAAATCAAGAAAGGAGTGTGTCAGGGATGTATTCTTTCTCCATACCTTTTCAATCTATATGCAAACCAGATCATTCAGGAGGCTGAACATTATGAAGGTGGTATCAGGATTCGAGACTCATCAACAATCTGCATTATGCAGATGACATAACCTTGTTAACTTTCAGAGAACTTCAAGTTTTTGCTACAGAAGGTCAAGGACTGCAGTTTTCTCACCACAGGTCCAACTGACAGCAATCTGATAGATGGAGAAGAGACTGAGGTTATTAATAATTTCATTTAGCTTGGCTCCACAATCAACACTCTTGGCACCAGCAGTCAACAAAAGATGAGCTGTTTTAGGAATCTGCTGTCAGGGAATCTACACAGTGCTAAAAAGCAACAATGTCAATCGAGATGGAGATGCACTTGATCCAGGGTCTTCTCAATTGCTTACTATACATCTATGAGCCGGAGAATGACTAGGGATGACAGAAGAAAAGATGCCTTTGTGCTGTGATGCTGGAGTATTGAATATACCATAGACTTCCAAGAGAACAGGTCTGTCTGAGAGAGGGTGCAACCAGGTTCCTCCTTGGAGGCAATGGTTTTGAAGCTCTGGATATGTTGCCAGGCAGGATCAGTCTTTGGAGAAAGTCATCATGCTTGGAAGGGTAGAGAAAGACCCTGGATGAGGACTGACACAGTGACTGTGGCAATGGGGTCAAGTGTGTCAGATGTGGGTGAGGGTTGACTCAGGACAGGGCAAAATTCAGCCTGCTGTTCACAGGCTCGCTATGAGTTATAGTCGACTTGATGGCATATCAGTAAGAGGGATCTGATAAGGTTGGGTGATGAAAGGCATTAACAGTAATTATATAAAACACCATATAAATGTGTGTGTGTGTGTGTATACCAGTTCAAACTACTAAAGTGGGTTCAAAATTGGGAAAGGAGTCCACCACGGATGTATTCTGTCTCCATACCTTTTCAATCTGTATGCAGAACAGATCATCTGGGATGCTAGGCTGTATGAGGAGGAATGTGGCATCAGCATTGGTGGAAGAGTCATCAACAAACTGCGTTATACAGATGACATAACCCTGCTTGCTGAAATGGAAAAGGACCTGAAGCTCTTGCTGCAGAAGGTCAAGGACTGCAGCCTTCAATATGGATTGAATTCAGCATCAAGAAAACAGATTCCCACCACTGGGCCAACTGGCAAGCATCAGTATGGATGGTGAAAAGATTGAGATAGTTAACAGTTTTAGTTTGCTTGGCTCCACAGTTAACTCTCTTGGTAACAGCAGCCAGGAAATCAAAAGACAAATTGCATTATGAAAGTTAACTGTCGGGGACCTCTCTAGAGTACTTAATAAGAGCAATGACATCAGGCTGGAGACTGAGGTGCATCTGATCCAGGCTATAGTCTTCGCAATCGTGTTGTGCATCGGAGAGCTGGACAGTGACTAGGGATTATAGAAAGAAAATTGATGCCTTTGAGCTGTGGTGCTGGAGAAGAGTGTTGAATA